CCTTAGGTCTCCAAACACGGGGCACCTTTAACCCCTGATTGAGACCGCCTGAGGCACCTGCGAGCTGCGATTCAGGTCTTTGCGGGTTTTCTCCGGGCTTCCTGCTCCAGCTGCCAGCTGTCGCACGGGAGCACCGCCCTGTCAGCAGGGTTTTCGGTGTTTTTGGTCACCGTTCATGGTGCCGCCCTAGCAGTTCTGTCCAGAGTCCTGGCCCATCGCCCTCTGCTTCTGGCTGGCCCGCATGTCGGCAACCGAGCTCGCAGATACCTGCGCTGCCCCGTTTCCATCGATGGAGGACAGATTGGCAGCAGGTTCAGGTAAGAGAGGGAGCCGAGTTGTGACCCACAGACCCAGCCTCCAAGGTGGTCAGTCAAATGCAGAGTCTGTCTCTCTTTATTATAGGCCCTGGTAGGAGAAGCCGGAAAGACGACACACAAGTGAGCATCAGCTGACAAGGAGGGAAGAAAACCATGCCAGCCCAGGAAAGGTAAGGCAGTTTTGACGGGCTGACTCTTGAAATAAAATGTTTTTACTTTATTTTTTGGTTCCACCACCAAGCCATAGGCCTTGAGAGCAGCGGGCCTCAGAAAGTTGGGTTGCTGACACTTCCGTCCAAGTAGGATTCACGTCTTAGCTTCTGACGGTGTCAGACGCGAATAGGTTTTCGGTGGAGTAGTGAGGATCCTGTAAACCAGAGTTATGTCTTCTCCTACTTCCTTTTCCAAGGCAGGGAGCTCTTGAGTACAGTGGGCATTGGGAGCTTGCTGCCACTCGGGTTCAAGTTCGTTCCTTCTGTAAGTGGGCAGCTGTTCCTTCCCCCGCTCCCTGCTGGTATGTGGGGTTTCATTTCACCCCCACCCCCAATTCCTTGTGGGCACTTTGAACCTTTTTTGGGTCCTGTGAGAGCTCTGACTTCTCTGTCAGGAAAGCCTTAGTTTGTGTGGTGCCGCTTGCTTTCTTGAAACACGCCACCAGAGCAACCACTGTTCGGTTGGCTTTCTGGCATGCTGCCTCTGTCGTGGTAAACACACGCAGCAAACTTTCGGTCAGGTCAGCAGAAGCTTGGTTTATGAGAGAATGCATTCTGGACAGACTCATACACAACTGGAGAATTGTGAAGAGGTCTGACCTCGTACAAGAGGTGAGGCGAGTTCATATAGAAAAAATGACATCGTAAGCGTAGCAACGACAGATACCAATCGGCATTTGCCGTGACTTTGAACTAGTCAAGTCTTAGACGCTGACCAGGCTATTATGGGCAGGGTCATAGCGGAGTGTAATTTTCCTGAGAGATGCCATTGTCTGCCAAAGGGATTTTGGTTTCATGAGCATTTCTTAGGTTCCCGTTTGAAGTAAGACCAATCTTCTTGCTTAAGTACTTTACTGCCAATTGTAAACAAACCATTTTGCACAGGCAGCTACTCCTGTAATGCCAAACGTGAACCAGATGTAATTTCATTCCTGGATGTCTCTTATGAGGTGAAACAATTACTGGTAGCTCATGGACATTAAAGAAACAGTGCTGAAAAGGTAAATTGCTGTCTAAAGGGACGAAGGTTGAGACGCTCGAGTCAGTTTGAGGGGGAGAGTAATGAAAACGCGCTGCTGCCCGGGACAGTGACGTGCAGCAGGATCGCTGGTGTTGGAGCCCTTTAGCTGGCGGGCTGTGTCTTGTTCTTCTTACACGGAGGGCTCTAACACTACTTGGTTGAGAAAAACGCTTGCCTAAGCATTTGCAAGGTTGGTCTTAATACATCGTTCTGCCTCGTGACCAGCAGCTCTGCTGAGACGCAGAAAAAAGCCTTGGTACAGCTATACACTCGGTGCTCCCCAAAATTCATATCGTTAACTGAACTAGTCGGCTGAGGTGTCTTTTGGAACGTAGGTTACTTTTTCAGCTTTAGCTGCATGTACCAGGGCATCATTAACATAACTGTTGACTAGGTCGAAGGAGCTATTAGCATCTGTGCAACATTCTTCACTAATTACAGCACATTCATTGTAATGGGGAATAAACACCCAAGAAAAAGCTCTTCTCACTTGGAAAATAATATGGTGATTTGGTAACGGTGTGGAAATATGGTGATTTAAAAAAAGAAAGAAAATAGTGGTGATTTTGGATCTTTTTTTTTTTTGTGGAAAAACAGTGATATTTCTGTGCGGATGTTGTGTGCTGGTTTGGTACCTGTGTGATGGATAACGTATTTCTTTCCTTTATTTCGTCCCGTGTTGAAACTGGTGTGCTGATTCTGGGGTGTTTTGGGAACTTGTTTGTGGACATGCGTGGAGATGCAATGGGGTAATACTGTGTGGAAACACGGGATTTTTTCCTTTGAAACTGGCAATCTTGTGTGGTGATTTGGGGACTTTGCGTAGAAGTGTGTGTGGGAGTATGATGCTCTTTGTGGAAGACGATGAGGACATGCCCGCAGTTCAGTGGGTTTTTACCATATTCCTCATTATGCATGGAAGTATGGTGACACACGTGGGGTGATTCGGTAATATCGTGTGGCAATATTGGAACTTTTTTCTGTGAAAACTGGGGACTTTGTGCGGTCCTACTGGAACTTGGTGTGGAAATGGTGTGTGGGAATACAGGGATGTTTGCAGACAACGGTGTGCTGATTTGGGAACTGTCTCTGGAAGCGGGGTGATTTAGGAACGTTTGTGTGAAAAAAGTGTGGAAATATGGTGATTTGTTACCTTCTTAAATGTGGGAAGAAGTGTGGTGGCTTTCTTGGGTGGCAAACTGGTGATTTTGTGTTGTGTTTGGGGAACATTTGTGGCAATGTGTGGACACACACTGTGGCGGGCCAGTAGGGGGCGCTCCTGCGTTGAGCCGCCCACCTCCCTGCGCCCGACCACCTTCCAGGCTCCGAGTGCCTCCCTTGGGGGGCCTCCCGTCCGGCCGACCCCTTCCCTGGAGCACACCCGCTAGCCTGGGGGTCCCGCTGCCACCATCCAAGGCTCTGGACTCACTTCTGGCTCTGTGCACCTTGGAAAACACAGGCCTGATCGTCCAATGGGTACTAGACCCAATACAAGCACTTGGGGCACTTCCCCAAGTCAGGGGCTTATTAGGAAGCCTCCCTTAGTCCAC